GTGGCAAGGAGGGTTTGGTTTCTTCCCCTCAGTTCTCAGAGCCATGGGCTGGAAAGTTGTGTACTTGGCCAGGGTGTTTGGGGCAGACACAAGCAGACAGAAACAGGTGTCATCCTAGGCTGTTGATTTGCCTCTCAGGAAGCGCCGTGGGACCGGCTACACCGAACAACTGCAGCAGTACAGCAGCCCAGGTTGGGAAGGGAAGAGGGATTGTGACTGGGGTTGCGGGCTTGGAGCGAGGTACATGCCTGATGAGGAAGGGGCTCTTCCAGAAGTGTAAGGGTGTGACTTGGGTATTTGGGTGCTCATGTTGGCAGCACACCCTCATAACACACTGTACTCTTCAGGGCTTGGAGTAAAGTATTACATTGACCCTTCCACCTATGAGGACCCCTGCCAGGCCATCAGAGAACTTGCTCGAGAAGTTGACCCTACATATATCAAGATTGAGGAAGTCATTGGGGCAGGTATTTGAGGGACAAGGAGTGTCTGGGTGGGCCTTGTGATCCCTGTCAAGCACAGCTGAACATTTTGTGACTTCTATCCATCTATTCTTCTAGGTTCCTTTGGAGAGGTGCGTCGGGGCCGACTGCAACCCCGGGGAAGGCGGGAACAAGCCGTGGCTATCCAGGCCCTGTGGGCAGGGGGTGCTGAGACCCTAAAGATGACCTTTCTGGGCCGAGCAGCGCTGCTGGGTCAATTCCAGCACCCCAATATCCTGCGGCTAGAAGGTGTAGTCACCAAGAGCCGGCCCATCATGGTGCTGACTGAACTCATGGAACTTGGTCCCCTGGACAGCTTCCTTAGGGTCAGTTATGCTAAGGGTGAAGGGGGGTGAAGGGGGGCTTGGGGTTGAGAAAAGCTTGGAACTCTCGTGTTTTCCAGAAGGCAGAACCTTGTGCCTCTGCTCCTTTCCACCCCATCCTCCATCGTGGTCTTCATCCCTCATTCTCAGGCCATTCTGACTCCCAAATTTGCTCCCAGCCGCCCTCTTACACTGATACTTGTCTGCAGTGTGTCTACCCTGCTGATGGCCTCTCTCTTCTGCCCTTTAGCAGCGGGAGGGCCAGTTCAGCAGCCTGCAGCTGGTGGCCATGCAGCGGGGGTTAGCCGCTGCCATGCAGTACCTGTCCAGCTTTGCCTTTGTGCATCGAGCACTCTCTGCCCGGAGTGTACTGGTGAACAGCCACCTGGTGTGCAAGGTGGCCCGGCTTGGCCACAGTCCTCAGGTGAGTTGGGGGTGGGGGGTGTTGGAGGGTCAGGGCTCTTCAGCACACTGGAGGGGAAGCTAGAATACAGGATGGGTGCTGCCAGTGGGATATCATAGTGCCTGGGGGTTAGAGACTCGATCACGGAGCGAGGAGAGGGAAGCCCGGGCTTAGAGCAATTGAGAGATGGAAGGAACCAAGGGAAAGCAAGGGACCACAGGAAGACAAGAGAACCGTAAAACTAGCACCAGCTCCTACTTGCTGTCAGTACAGAGGTCACACAGGCTGAAGTGTCAGCACAGTGGTATTCAAATCCCTGAATCCTCCACTCTCAAGCCCCATGACCTATGCAGTTTCGTGGTCTGGAAGCCTTGATTCCACATTTGGTTGTGTGTCTACTCTTCAGCATGGTCAAGGGGATGGAATGAGATGCTGGATTAAGACTCCCAGACATCTAAGTTGCCCAGTGAAGGTGGCTCTCCTACAGTTATTACTGTTTGATCTCTGGTTCTCCCCTTCAGGGTTCAAGTTCCTTGCTTCGCTGGGCAGCCCCAGAGGTCATCACACACGGGAAATATACTACAGCCAGTGATGTCTGGAGCTTCGGGATCCTGATGTGGGAAGTGATGAGCTACGGGGAGCGGCCCTACTGGGACATGAGTGAGCAGGAGGTGACCTTGACCTACGAGGTTGTTTGCTGACTTTCCCACTTTGATCTCACCTTTGCTATCATTTCCTGAACCCACCCTTTTCTGAGCCATTCCTGTGCTAAGATCTTGTGACTGGAACATCCTGAATTTTTGTGGTTCCCACCCAATCCCAGCTCATGCTACATCTGAACTCAGCCCCTCCTGCCCCCCTTTGTCAACACCCGACTAGCGACAGCTTCTCACCACATGCCCCTCTTGACCTGCAGGTACTAAATGCCATCGAGCAAGAGTTCCGGCTGCCCCCACCTCCAGGGTGCCCCACTGGGCTACACCTACTGATGCTAGACACTTGGCAGAAGGACCGTGCCCGTCGGCCTCACTTTGACCAGCTTGTGGCTGCATTTGACAAGATGATCCGCAAGCCGGACACACTACAGGCTGAAGGGGGCTCCGGGGACAGGTCTGAAACTTGGGGCTGGAGCCTGGGAAAGCCAGGGAGGGTAGGTGTAAACCAAAAGGAAAACTGAGCAGAGAGAGTCAGATGAAGAGGAAACCTGTTTTGCTTGCCCCTCCCCACCTTAGGCCTTCCCAGGCTCTTCTGAACCCCGTGGCCTTGGCCTTTCCTTGCCTGGACTCTCCCCAGGCCTGGCTTTCAGCCATTGGACTAGAGTGCTACAAGGACAACTTCTCCAAATTTGGCCTTTCCACCTTCAGTGATGTGGCTCAGCTCAGCCTGGAGTAAGCGGTGACGTGGGGGGAGGGTGGGCACCCTGGGCCCCAGGCAATGGGGACATCTGGGGTATACATTCAAGGAGCTGGCCCAAGCCCAAGTCTGATCCACTCCTTCCCCACCAGAGACCTGCCGGGTCTGGGCATCACCCTGGCTGGCCACCAGAAGAAACTCCTGCACAACATCCAGCTCCTCCAGCAGCACCTGAGGCAGCCAGGCTCAGTGGAGGTGTAAAGTCTGGTCGGGAATCTGCGCGCCACTGATGCCCCAACCCCGTCCTGGACATAGGATGGAGGAAGGATGTGTGAGACTGAGCCAGGCCTGATTCCAACCTCCACGCCTGCCACCTGAAACCCAGCCCACCGGACACTACATCCCAAACCCTGCCCTTCCGACAGCCTCCCCCATATTAAAGGGAAAGAAGGGAATTTACAAGTTTAGGTGTGTCCATGCCTGGGTCTGCAAGGAAGGGCTGGGGCGGCCTTGTGGGAGGAGCAGAGCTGCATGGCAGGGTGGGCCAGGGGTTAAGTTCACTGAAACATAAAGGGATCTGGGTGGGGATCAGGAAATGACTTTATTGGAAGGTGGCAAGGCTCACCCCAGCTTCCTCACCCCAACACTGGTGCCCGTAACTCTCCATCACACACCTTTCCACAAGCTCAGTGTTACTCCATCAATTGTCTGGAGCACTCTGGGAAGAGGTGTCCCTCCCGCTTACAAGACCTGGGTGGAGACAGGTGCCCAAGATGGCAAGCCTGTCTTTAAAGTGCTCTAGTGTGCAGTGGAGCTCCCATAAGAGAACAAAGAATGATGGGTTGAGGCAAGCACCACAGAGTCTTCCTTCCTTTGCCCCAAGCTGAAGGAGCTGTGGAGACCTGGAACATTTATTCCCAGTGTGCCTTCCTTAGCATGCTCCTCCCTCCTACCCCCTGGACTCGGGCGGGGGCTGACTTCTACTTTTTAACTGGTTTTCTTTCATTCTGTTTTGACGCTCGTTGAGAGTCAACCTTCAGATCTGGTACTCCCAGCCCTCTTTCATTCTGTTTTGACGCTCGGTGGGAGTCAACCCTCAGATCTGGTACTCCCAGCCCTCCCCATCTTCAAGACCGCGGTTGATTATCCCTCGAAGGTCCCTCCTTAGAGTCCCTTGTCGAAGCCTTTCCCAGTTGACGCTGCTCCGGGAGGTGCTTCGAGACACGGAGGGTGTGGGGAAGGACAGGTAGGCACCAAAGGAACGTGTCATCTCCGGCTTTTCTCCTGAGTCTTTTTCCAAGTCCTCTGAGTACAGGCCATCTTGTTGCTGGAAGGCCCGTGCATAGCGGCGGATGCGTTGCCTGTTGAGATCTTGCCTGTCTTCCACCCTGGAGGGAGGGGATGAGGGATTCAGAAACAGTGGAAGCGAAAGGAAGGCCTAAGGTCAACACTTCTCATTCACCGCCACCATTGTTGGAGGTTCTGTGCAGGCACCCTGGGGACACAGAACACCAGCCGCTCACCAACCAGGCCTCAGGAAGCTGTAGGCTCTGCTCTGCGCATGCTTAGGAGCCGAAGCTCAGACAAGCATGGGGCCTAGGAAGTGTCCAGACCCCCACAGAGCTTCTGGAAGCAAGAGGACAGCATGCAAAGTGACTGCTTAGGGAACACCACCAATGGTCCATGTCTCTTACCGCAGGAACCAGCGGTCCCCCAGCCCATACTCGCGCCCACAGATCCCAGAGCGAGGCCACAGGCAGCGAGGCAGCTTCCGCTCCAGCATCACAGTGGTGGCTACAACCTACATTTGGGGACAAAAAGGGAAGTCAGAGAGGTCAGGTGCAGACTGAAAAAGGGCAGAGAGAGGAGGGGAGGCCAGAAAAAGGGAAGACAATTTAGTAACACTCTGGAGCTTGTGGCTCTCTAGAAATAGAAGCAAGACCCCCACCCCAAACCAAAGATGGCCACATGAACTTGGTAGAGCCCCTTCTGTTGAAGAGACTGGATGGGACTTGAGCCCCACAATTCTTTATCCTATGACTTGAAAGCCATGGCAAAGCCAGGCGAGGTGCAGGTGGCCTGTAAGAGTGTACCCTCAGGAGAGACCTTGACCAAAGGTATAGGCAAGATTGTGGAAAACATAGAGGAGTTTCACAGGTCTCGGAATGTTTCGAACCTGCATGCATGAAGTGATTTAAAAATATAAACATCCTGCTTGAAAACCTAATGTCAACTATTTTCAAAATATTTCTCCTAGCAAACCCTTTTTAGCCAGATTAGGTTTTACTCCATCTCCACAAATCACACTTAAATGCTTTCCAGGGTTTTAGAGTTCCATTTTTACTTTTACTTAAATTATTTCTGTTGAGATAAATTCTTTTTCAGGTATATTTTTAAATGAGAACTTGGTTGGTCCATTGTCCTTTATGCCCATCATCTGACTGAAGACAGCTTCTGCTGCTAAAGAAAGTGGATTTTTAAAAAATGTCATTATTTATAACACTTCCAATTTTTCTGGGTCAAATTTCGTAGGCTTCAGTGTTTTCAAGAGACTAGATACTTCCATTCTTTCTTGGGAGCACAATTTACCAAATATAGTTTTAGCCATTTGTTCACTTCATTTCTAGAAAAGACTGAGGATTTATTTAATTGTTGAGAAAATACAGGGAATTCTTCCCAGAGATTCCAGAAGTGCTCTTTGTTACTAATTAAGTCCCCCTGGAATGTTGCGCATTATTTTATAACTTGTGCAAAAAGCTATCCAAATACACATGAGTACAAATGGCTGCTTTTAACCTAGCATGGCCAGTTCCCCGGCAAGAAGAAGGTGTATGCAGTAACCCTCCTAGCCACCAGAGGGCTCACCTGTGCCCTCCAGAGCTCATCCCTCTCGTGGGCCACTCTCCAGTGAGTGTCACCCATCATGGCAATGAGGAGGTTGAGCATGAGCAGTGTGGCGATGATGGCAAAGGCGGCATAGGTGATGCTGTACATGAAGGGCAGGTCCACGTCATAGTTGGCAGGGCCGTCGATGATGGTGAGGAAGAGCTCAAAGGTGCTGAACAGCGCCATGGGGTAGTCATAGAAATGGCCGAGCTCATCAGGGTCCTCTGTCTGGAAGATGATATAGAAGGCTGCTCCACCCAAGGGGTGAGAGTTACCATAGCAACTGCATCGTGAATAGCCCACCGCCAGCTATTTGTTGTCTGTTTCCCTCCCATTCCCTTCCTCTCATCTTGCTGTTTCAACTCAAAAGGAATACATCTTAAATTATTTTATTTTTTGAGATTGTAATATAATTGCATTATTACCCCCTTCTCCTTCCAAGCCCTTCCACATGCCGCTTCTTGCTCTTTCTCAAATTAATGGCCTCTTTTTCATTAATTGTTGATATCATTCCTAAATGCATATGCATTTCCTAAATACATAAATACAACCAGCTCAGTCTGCCTAATGTTACATGTTTTCAGGGCTAATCGTTTGATATGCTCTTCCCCGAGGAAGACTGTGTCCCTTCAGCATTCCTTAGTTGTGTGAAGTTCTCTGTGTAGGGCTGAGGCTCCCTTGCCCTGTCCACCTTAGCATGTCTACAAGGCTATGTGCCTAGCCTCCTGCCCCGACACTACTATGCCTCATTTCTCAGCAGCATCCCATTTTTAGACATTTCATGGCCTCCTCTAACATCTGGCCTCCTTCCAAGTTCAGCCTGAAGAATTTTGTCCCCAGTAAGCCCCCGACCCCACCCCACCCCAGCTCTTTCTTCCACAGCCTCCATCCTGGATTGGTGATTTACCTGAAGCAAATCCCAGGATCACCACAGCCATCAGCCAGCAGAATCGCATCAAGTCACCAAAAATCATCTATGGAGAGGAAGAGGCAGAGAACACCACACTTTCAGACCAGTTACCCATCTGACGTCAGTAAATCTAACCTCAGAAGTCTGATGGCTCCATACACCAGGATGGGCTGTCAAACTACACCCTCTGAATAAATCTGCCTGCCCTATCTTGGTTAGGATTTTAAGCTAAGGATGATTTTTAAGCTTGTAGGAGGATTTTTATTTTCTTCAAAGAAAAAAATTAGGGGTAACATATAACAGGAACTATGTAGTGCTCACAACACCCGAAATACGTACTACCCAGCCCTGTGGGAAAGCGTTTGCTTAATCCTGGACGAGGGCCCTTTATTAGGAATCATGGGGGAGACACTGACCTTCTGGATCATGATGGTGAAGGGACCAAGCATCTGGAATCCTCTGGCAAAGTACATAACATTGCACCAACCCAACACCAGAGCAAAGGACATCGGCACCACCTCCCCGTCTGCGTTGGTGAGCCTCATCACCATGGTCACCAGCACCATGAAGGCATAAGTGATACTGGGGGGGGGGGAATGGGAGAACAAAAAAGTCAGGTTCGTCCTGGGGACCTAACAGCAAGAGTACAGCTGTCAGTTCAGCCTCAACACACTCCGTACACCTTACAGAGGGGACTCCAAGCTAAGGGGAAGGATGGCAATGGAAGCTCCAGGGAGATGAAGGTGGGGTGAGATGAAGGAGACACTCACATGATGACATGGAATGGCCCCCCAAGGATGGTCTGCCCAAAGAATCGCGTGACCCCCAACCTGAAGATGTCTGGAATCTGGAAAGAAGTCAAAGAAATATGAAAGGCTCTTGTAGACCAGCATGAGGGCGGGGCTCTGGGGCAAACAGCCTCCACCATAATCCTATCTACACTTTACCTCCACCAGCAGGATGATCACAGCCCCAACGACGCTCACCAGCTCCCCCACCAGCCGTAGATCGTCCTTGGGGGTCCCATAGGCCTCCTAGGGAGGGAAGATGCTGGTAAATCACGGGTCTCTGCCCAACATAACAGTTCCCAAGGCCATCTGCTCTTTCGGATTCTTTCTAGACCATGAGGTTCAGCTAGTCTCAAACTCTGCTCCTGGAGTAAGAATGCAGGTGTGTTCCTGTGTGCGCATTGGTGAGTCTGTGCCCACTTCTCATACATCTAGGTGACAAGTGGAACCCTGGTGGGGAGTCAGGAAAGTGGGACAACGCTGGAAGAGAAGATTCCAAATGCCCTATCTGTCACTAGCAGGCTGTCACCTGCAGGAGCTTCTGCTGCAGGAGGGTGTTGTCCCGGGGATTGGTTCGGTTAGTGGTCCTGGGCTTGAGGGGCCGGTACACACAGCACATGGTGAAGCAAATGATGTACAGCACGTAGATGGCGCCCAGCACGCAGAAGTAGGGCCGCCCGAACCGCTTCCACTTGAGGCTCACCAGCTCCTTCACAGGCGTCTGGTCCAGAATATGGCGGGGGGGCAAAAGCAGGACAGGACAGTATCTCCAAGAGCCAGCCCGCCACCCTTCCCGGGGCCTGAGCTGTGAAGAGCCTCTACCTCACGCTTCTTGGTAGTAACAATAAGCTCCAGCAGCGATTGATCATCTCCTGAGGAGTCGATCTCAGTGAGGTCGTAAAGGGTAGAAGTCAGTGGCCCATATGTCCACTGGACGTGCTTCCGCTTCTGCATCAGGTGTTGGAACATCTGAAAGAGAGTGGTCAGGATCCACGGCTGAGGGGCTTGCCACAGCTCAGAAGTAAAGGACCAGAGAAGGCGGTGGCCTTCTAGTAAGGACTACAGCCTTTGGAAGTCAAAAGAACTTGTATCACACGGACCCCTAGATTTATCCTGCTCCATGATTCATTCCAGAGCCTGGAGATATGGGGGAAATTAGCATGTCACTCTTCTGGGAAGGACAAGTGGGCTTGGGCATTGCAAAAAAAAAAAAAAAAAAAAAAAAAAAAAAAAAAAAAAACAGGATAAGGTCTAGACTACATAAATTGCCAGTACTTTGGTCAGAGTAAACAGGTAAAGAGAAAACACAAAAAATGGACCAGTGAATGAAAGACATAGGCTGAAGCAGATCCTAAGGAGAGCTGGGGATTGGACCGAAGCCTCTTAGATGTCCAGCAACGTAAAATGAGGATCATTAAAGACACCTTAGGGCACGGGTCTCACCACAGTGTTGCCTTCCACCCCAGCCAGCTTGAAGGGGGTGAGTCCCTGGTTGTTGGGCACAAGCTCCAGGGACTTCAGGTGGTCTCCTCCATCATAGGACAGTAGCAGGTTGTACATCTGGCAGGCAAAAGTTTTGTTGGGCTGCAAGATGAGTATGTGCAGCACTGTATTTCCTGGGGAAGACAGAGGTTGCTATCAGATTCCCTGATGTCTCACCCCCATCTCGGTGTTCTCTCTCTCTCTGTCTCTCTCTGTCTCTCTCTGTCTCTCTCTGTCTCTCTCTCTCTCTCTCTCTCCCTACCTCCCCTTCTCTATCTGTCTCCCTGTCTCTATCTCTGTCTTTTATCTCTCTGTCTCTCTCTGCCTCTCTGTCTCTGTCTGTCTCTCTCTCTCTCTGACACACACACACACACACACACACACACACACACACATAGCCTCTCACAATATTTTAACTTTCTCCTCGTCCCAGTTCTTACCCAGGGAGTCCTGGGCCCGGATGTCAGCTCCATGTTCGATGAGCAGCCTGACAATCTCCTCGCTGCCCACACAGGCAGCAAAGGACAGAGGGTGCTCTCCTGTGGACACAAGGAGACATGTGACAGGACACAGCAGGATCAGAAGAAGAGAGGGGCCTCTGCCTTCAGCCCAGCAACTGCCTCCTCCTCCCATGTCTCAGCTTGTGGCTTGGGATCACTTGCCCAGGAGAAACTCATGGAGGGAACTGGCCTCTGGCTCTGAGTCTTAGAAACACTGCCCCCCTCCCAGCTTCCCAGAAAATGTAACCAAGGAAAGGGTCCTCCTTAGCCTCCCCTCCTGCTGCTGTTGCCCCACTTTGCACCTCTGATCCTGGCTCTGGATCTCACCATAGTAGATAAGGTTGTGGGGACTGTAGTGGAAGGCGGAGCCAGTAGCTCTGGCAGAGACACTGGCCCCTCGGGCAAGCAGGGCACAGACCAGATTCACATTCTGGTTCATGACTGCGATGTGCAATGGAGTCTGACCTGGCCCAGAGAGAGCTGCAAGTCACATATCTGTTCCCAGGAACCTGAAGGAATCCCTCTCACATGTCCCCATAGTTTCCTTTGTGTGGCAGGCACCCTGTGGGTGTTAAAGGTTCCCAGTAGATCCCTTTGTTCCCTCCATCCAACTCTGCCCCTTCTCTGGGTCTCTGGGAGATCAGGGACCATATGTAATGACTTTCCACCAGGACTTAGAAAAAGGACAGCTTGTGGCATAATAATAAAAATTAGAGAGCTTCACATAGCTTCTGTTTCCCCAAATTATCTACCTGAGATTTCTGGAAAACACAGCTAACCGCCCATCCTAGGGCCTCACCTTCATATAGCTCAGAGGTCATTGGCTCAAAGACCAGCTCTGGGGCAGCCTCCATCAGCACCATGGCAGCCTCCAGGTTATCATAGAGGGCTGCTATGTGCAGTGCAGTTTCCCCCATGGCTCCTGGCATTTAGAGAGGTGGGGAAAAGGCAAGTAATGTCTTTGGGGCAAAGAAGACAAACATACCCTAGGTCATGGGCTCTCTTGGGGATGTCTGTGAGGAGGGGGACTGGCCCACAGACCATTGCTAGGACTCAGCTCCGTACCTCTCTGGTGCACCTCACATCCTCCAAACTTGAGCAGCTTGCTCAGGGCCTGGATATCATTTTCTTTGGCAGCTAGAAGAAGAGGTGACTCCCAGATCCTACCAGGAAATGGGACAAGAAAGGTGGTAACCATGAACATGCCCAGTTGTAGTACAAGTTATGAAGGCACCACTTAGGTGTGTCTCAACAAGAATGGATGGGGAGGTTCCTGAACCCGGTAGATGGGTTCATTACAGTGCAAAAGTCACCAACTCTCTTCTTGTTCAGTTCTCCTAAACCGACTTCAAGCATTTAGCCTGGGTAAGGGAAGGCCCAGACTAATTTCCTGTTCCCTGGTAATGGGACCAGAATATCTGGGGCTTGTGTGTGTGTGTGTGTGTGTGTGTGTGTGTGTGTGTGTGTGTGTTGTGCATATTGGACAAAGAAAGAAGGAGTTTTCTTCAGTCATACACTCACCACATGATCTGAGCATTCCAGGAGTGGTCCTATTCTGGACTCAGCAATGTCCTGAGATTGCCCTGCATGATAAGTCTTGTTTTCTATGTACTAGAGGTATAAGGAGCTCCGCCCCCATATTTGAGGAAGAAGGCAACATGCAGTGACTAGTGGGTTTTCTCCTGTTACAGGAGGCCTGGCTATTTGACCTTCAGTGTGGAACATTAGATTCCTCCCCTTTCCTCCTCTTTCTGGCCGTATCATCAGGACTCTATGTAAAAGCAGTAACAGCCCTTGTAAGAAAGCCTGACTCCGGGCAGTGGCCATGCACACCTCTCTCTCCTCACACCTTAATTTCTACCATTTTCCTTATTAAATCAGAAATCCTGCAGATGATCAGCACCTTATACAAATAAATAAGAGATTTCAGCTCTCTGATTCCCCTTCCACATGAAATGTCCAGGTCTGATTCAGGAAGAGTCCCAAGGGACTCTTGTACAAATGAAAGTTCAGGAAACTGTACTCAAACCAGGAGATATTGAGTGTGGTCCATGCTTGTGAAACTTCTAAAGTAATAAATCCAAGTCAAGCTTGGGAGCCCCCCATCTCTAAAGAGTACAGGAAGTAAAGTCATCCATCATCCTCACACCCTGTCTACAGAGCCTTAGGAGCTACTTTATTTCTGCTATTAGTACCTGTGAAGATATAAATGGTGGCCAACAATGACAGATGAGGGGGAAGGAAAGAATCTCATTTAGAGAATTCATTTGTTGATTTTTCAGGTGGATCTGAATGTTCTCATCTTCCTCCTCCACTTCTTGAGTGCACCTAATTTTGAATTCAGAGTTCTTATCCCAACTCCCCATCTCTAGTATTCCCCTATTTATTATATAAGCTTTAGGCATTTTTAGGAAAAAATATATTCCTGGCTCTGCAAATCACCTCTCTAGTCTTATCCCAACTAAGAAACATGGTTCTGTTTTTATTGAATTTTTCTTTCAGTTTGGAGCAGTTTGGTCTTTCCACAGAAGTAAGTGAAATTATTGTATTTATCCATAGATAGCCAATTACACGGCACACAAAAGGATCTGGACAAGAGCTCCCATCCTGAAGTGCTAGCAGTGGCCAGAAGATTACTGTAAAGCTTGGATTAGGAAAGTGATAAGGAGAAGAAAGTGACTTCTATCTCCCACAACCGTAACCCCAGCTCCCTCAGAGGTCCACAGGCAATCATCTAAGATTCTATCTCCATTTAGTGCTTTCTCCCTTTTGCTATTAAAGCTTATTAATTTGCATCTTCATGCTCTGGTCCAGGATTAACAAGACATTCTCTTGGTTTCCCAGCACCCTGCTTACCCCTAGTCCATCCTTTTTAATGCTGTCAAGATAGCCTTTGTGAATGGCAATGCAGTCACCACTTACAAAGGGGGGTCGGATCTTTCAGCGCCCAAGGATAAGGAACACAGAGGTACTTCACGGTCTTTGTGCAACCATTTTTTCCATTCTCTGATCCTCCCCCTCACTCCTTACACCTGGCATTTCAGTCTCACCGCACACTTCAGCCCCACAGAGCACACCGTTCTTCTTGGACCTGTGCCCACGAGGCTGCTTCTTCCTGAATCCACTCCCTCAACCCCCGTGATTGTCCATTGTGCACTTCCATGCCCAGCAAAATCACCTAGTGTGCTGTGGCTGGCTGCTCACTACGATAGGGACAACGGATGAATTAACTAAGGTGGCTTTACTGCCCCTCTTATTGTCCCTCTCTACCCCTCCCCAAAGCCAACCTTAAATGAACATACAACCTAAGTGAAGTAAACATAAGAGGAAAAACAGAGTTTGGTTGAAAATACGGCTGCAAAACAAGTTTTCTAGACCTTTTGCCACCACCATGACTCTAGCCATTTGCCCAAAGCTCTTTTAACCTCTTACACAGATATTTTAAAGTCAGCACTAGAATGTAAGGGAAGCGAAGCTTCCTCCAACATACACCCCCACACACCACCACCACCACCACCACCACCACCATTCCTAGAACATTTTTCACTCTTTTCTTTGGTCTTATTTTTATTATAGCATCTTGCACTTTGTGTTGTAAATAGAATATGCTTCTTTTTCTATACTTGGGAATCACAGAATTTCCTTTTGTTCACAAAATATCTCTGAAGCTGATAATGGTCTCCCACAAGCCTGTGTTCCCTGAGTAATCCTTTTGTCTGCTTCTATCCTACCAGCCCCGTGAAAGACCAAAGACTGTCAGATATAAGTACAGTTACATGATGCTCAATTAAAATCGAACTCTAGATATACAACTTTTTCAATACTATTTTATGTATTCTTTGAAAATATGATGCATTTATACAATGTATTTTGATCATATCTATTTACAATGTCTCCCTCCAACTCTACAAATACATCCTATGCAGTATTTTGGGACATGCCTACAGTGACAACTTATCCATTATTCATCTAAAAGTCAAATTGAAAGATGCACCCTGTGTTTTATACCTGGCAACTCGTAAAGAAATAGCTTATTACCCAACTCAACAACGTTTGTAAGAGATGGTCTTCTCAGGGCTGGGCATTGGTGGCACCTGCCTTTAATCCCAGCACTCGGGAGGCAGAGGCAGAGGCAGAGGCAGAGGCAGGAGGATGTTTGTGAGTTCTCAGCCAGCCTGGTCTACAGAGCAAGTTCCAACCTCCAAAGCAATACAGAGAAACCCTGTCTCAACACACACACACACACACACACACACACAGCACACACACACACATGAAAGAAATGGTTTCCTCTCCTTGCAAACTCCAGAATCGAGCAAAATGAAGAAGGAAGGTCAGTGAGCTTTTTCCATCCTACTTTATAACTTGCAGTAACTGCACAGGACCACAAGGTGATAGCAGAGAAAGTTCTAACTCCCTACTAGTTCTGGCAGTAAAGACACAGAACTCCAAACCTGTCTCACAATCCTTGGTCTCCAAAGAAGAAGTGGAAGGAATACCAAAGAGTCCTGTAGATTCTCTGATAGTAACCCATCACAGAAGGTTAGAGAACAACTAAGGTACAGGGGATAAAGGGAAGCAACAATGTTGAACATCCCACAGGACACTTACAAAGAATTACCCTACTCAACATGTTAACCATGCCAGGGCAGAGAAATCCTGATACAGAGGAAAGGATTCTTCACATAAAAAGAAATTAAAATTCCATAAGCATACAAAATATTTTCTAACTAAAATAAGTAAGAAACAAAAAGCTGTGATCAGAGAGTAGCAAAAAGAAATAAATATTATCAGAACATGGAAGGTATTTACAGGTTCTTCAGTTCTTTGTTTTACTTGGCAATTAAGTACAAAATTGAACTTTTCCCCCATAATGGCTTGGGGGAAAGCTCAGTCATAGGCTTCTTTTACATGAAACCTAGCATATTTTTGTTGTTGTTGAGGACTTAAGTTAGTGTTCTCTTGCTCACAGCCAAGATTGTGTCTCCAAGTGAGAGTCCTTGGCTTTCATCCTCCTTGACTTCTGCTCCTCCAACTCTCTGCTCCTGGTTTTTATGGACATAGAAGTCTGTGTGTGTCATGTCCATGAATCGTGTTCTGTCTTTTATTCTGGGAAACAAAGAAGGATCCAAGAGTTTTAAGGAATGTTCAGATCAGGAGAGTAGAAATGGCACAGAAATGGAATCTAACCTGTTCGTGTAACAGATGGGGCCTCAGGAGGAGTACTCTGAAGTGATTAGTCCAACCGGGTCAGTCTGATCTGAGACAAGTCCCTCCTTAGCCTTTTCTCTGTCCCTGTTCATTGTGTTGATCAGGAGTAGAAGGCCAGTGGTGGGGGCAGAGGGGACACTCTGAGGATACATGGGAGTTTCTCTACAGATGCCCTCACAGCTGACCGTAGGCACTGGGTAGACTGTGAGTGGTTGTTGCATTTTTCTTCTGATGGACTCATTTCTGTTAGGAGGAAGTTCATTGCCCACTCATGCCTGTCACCCTTGGCAGTTGTCTTTTTAATGATATTCTTTGTCACAATCCCATTTGTTTAATACACCTGTCAGTTTCCAAAGAAACATCACTTGTTCCCGCTTTTGCTTTCCACAGCCATACAGCATCAGCTGAGTAATTCTCTTCTTTTTATTTTTTAAGAAAAAGAAACTGAGGCAGCAAGGTCAGATATGTTGCCAGAAGATCACACAGGGTTAAAAGGCAGGCTTGCTTACCAAGAACATGGCCCCAGGGGCTTACCACTAAATTATGTGGTTCTTCTAGTTTTTATGGCTCTTCCTGATTTTTCTTGGGAGGTGGGGGTCAGGCCCAGAGCAATGACCACAGATGAGAAAGAGCAGCCATGTGTGGGAACATGGCATACACTGGGCACTCATGGGCCACCTCCCTCCAGCTGAGACTCCTGGCGACGAGATGAGGAAGTCACAAAGTGGGTAATGTGCCTATTTCAAGATTTGGAACCAAGCTGTTTCTGAACTGCCACAACTCCCTTACACAGGCAAGCAAACCGGCATGTTGTGTGTGCTTATCAAGGCAAGCGCTGAGGTCTCCGGGAGAGTTGTCAGAGCTGAGCTTGCACAGAAATGTCAGCTCACATGTATCATTTATACAGGTTTCTATGTAACCCAACTCAAATGGCCGGCATGACTCCCTGTCCTCCCAGGGAGTGAAAATGTCAGCACAGGAGGGGTGGGAAGTCAGGTTGGGCAGCCTCTGTGAAGCTCCCAGCACACCCCACACTAGCAGAAATCAGATAACAAATAGGACAGTTTCCTTCTCTGTTCCCTTGCTTAAACTCGCTTCAGCCTTCTCATGACCTTCACCATGCTCACCTTTAACCTAAGCACAGTTATTCTTCCAGAATTTGTAGGATGTTGGTTCTATAACATTCCTCTCATACCAAGATCCATACGAGCTCTAGAACCTTCCCTACAGTGATATAATATTTGTGCATCATTTATATATTCATCTAGTAGACTTTAAGATAGGGCTGTACTCTGTGGCCCAGGCTGGCCTGGAACTCACTAAGTAGTCAATGTTAAACTTGTGGTAACCCTCCTGCCTCAGACTCCCAAGTGTTGGGATTATAAGTGAAGGTCACAATATTCAACTTGTTTATTGATTTTAAATCTTTGGAGACAAGTTTCACTGTGTTGTCCAAGTTAGCCCTGAGCTTATCAGTCCAGTGCTTCAATATTCTAAGTACTGGGAGTACAGGCAGTACCTATTATGCCTAATGGAATATAAGTTATGCATATATTGCTATCGTACAGTATTGTTTAGTAATGACAAAGGAAAAAATGCTATACATGTTCAGTATTGATGCAACTACCATGAGCCTAACTTTGTAACACACACAGCAATAGTACAGCCTTGTTGTCTCTAAGGTTGATTTAATCTGAAGATATGTAGGAACAACATGAACATTGGTACATTTTGTCCAGCAGAACATGAGGCTTTTTGAGAGGCAAGAACTACATCAGGTTAGTTTTCCACAAACCTAGTGGAGTATACATTATGCTCAATCAACGTTTAACACGTTGGATGTACAGAAATGAGAAACCTCTGGTCAGAAGACATGGTTTAAAAGAAATGGGAAAGAGTTGAGAATTCAGCTAATATGGATTTAAATTGGTGAGCTGCATGATGAAGAGAAATGTGTAACACCTCTGCTTATCTTGCAGAGTTCTTAAGGCTTTGCCTTCTGCTGAGACCAACTTCTACTCCATGAAATCCTACCTGGTCCTACCCCAGAATTCCTCTCTGGGGCTCCCACTTGAGCTCCAGGCCTGATTGGTCATCCTGGGGATGATAGAATCTCCCTCCTTCCCAAACCTGTGCTGGGTTTTATGTCAGATAAGATGAATGAAGGTGCTTCTAGAGACTGAGACTCTGCCATAGTTCAGAGCAATTATTTAAGTGCTGGCCTCCAGCTTGTCCATTTTCCACAATGCCTTCCCTGTGCGTAGCTGATCTCCCAGGCCAAGAATCTCCTAGGAAATTTCAGCTCTTTCTGGAAAGTAACATCCACAGAGGGCCACTACTGAGGGCATCATGTGTCTGGGAATAAGAAGGTTAAGAAACCATAGAAACAGATGAGGAGATCAGAAAATGGAGGGGAGACCCCTCTAACTGGTGGCTTTAGGTCTGCCTAGCCCAACACCACAGAAGAGAACACTTGATGGCAGGAAGAAATAGGTGCAGACTAGAGATGCCTGCAAATAGCTTATGCTTAGCCAGGCTGCCTGCTCGGGTCTGGGTCCTTTCCTCGGTTCTTCCTGCACAGGGGCTTTAGGAACCTCATCCACCCCTGTCAAAGCCCATGACTTTCTGCAGTCTGTGCCTGGTGCCCCCCAGCTTCAGGGTGCTGAGAGTGGGAGGAAGAGAAGTGAAACCAATGAGAAATTATTCTGTAACAACAGTGCCATTCTGTTGCCCTAAGATGTCATCAAGCAGACATGTGCCCTGGTCCCCACTCTCCCAGCCCTGGGGGAGAGAGGTGGGTGGCTGGATTGAGAGACAGGAAAGCCACAGCTCCAAGAAGGGGCACATCCAGGCAGGGAATGCATAATACAAAGAATAGGAAATCCCAAGCAGCCTTCAGGCCAGGTTAAGACAAGCCCTGCATTCAGAGATGGAGAAAAACCGAAGACAAAACCTCCAGCCTTTCCTCTGTGAACACACATGTTACCTGTCTCTGCATAGCCTGGGGGAGGCCCCCAAAGCAGAGCTTCCTTTTAGCATGTCACCAATGGGGTGGGGAACCCTACTAACAATGCCAATGAGGAGACCACCACAGGGTGGGCCCCAGACCCAGTGGATTTCTTATTCTCCTGCTCCCAAGACCGACTATAAGATGCTGTCTGAGGCAGGAGTGAGTGTCAGAAGAGGCAGGAGTGGGTATCAAGTGATTATAAGGCAGTTTTCTGCGAATCGAAACAAAATGTGGGGTTTCCTAAGGCCTCAAACTTCAGCGTCTCTCCCAGACCGCCTAGCTTGAAAGGCAGCATGGTGAGCATCTCAGGCGTTATGGCCAGGAGGTCAGGCAAACTCATCAATAGAAAGGAGGACACCGCAGGCTGCACCTGAGCTTTGTTGGGTCTTTAAATCCCACCAGTGGCCGAGACAAATGTACAGGAATGGTAAGTATTTTCTCATCTCTACCTTCGTTATTACTGCTCTATTCATTCAGTCACTCTCTCATTCATTCCCACGTGTACGCTCGTATATAAAAATGCGTTTCTGCCGTAGAACTGCTAAAAGAACATGGAGTACAGATAGGTAAGACATTATCCTGCCACGATCGCCTTTGAAGTAGAGCGTTCACCGGGGCCAGTGAGGTGCCTGGCTACTGGGGAGGTACTCCTAACAAGCCTATGAGGACTGAATGGGACCGTAAAGAAAACTAACATCTGTGCCCAGGCTGCCTCCCACCTGACATCCTGGCCAGCTAGCCCCATGAGGCCACGACTCAGAAGAAAGTGCTTAGAAGGAGCCAGTCCATAACCTGGGGCACAGACTGTCCAGCCAGGGGTGACAAGAGAAGGCTCAAGCAAGCTGGGAGGGGGTGGGGTGGGAGCTCTGCCGCTTAGTAGAAGGAGTAGAGGCAGATGGCAAGCTTACCTCTTCTGCTGCAGCAGGTTCTGCTCGTCTCGGCTCTGAGCCCAGGACTCTTGTCTATGGAACCATTTGCAGAACTTGTTCCATAGGCAGAGTATTAACCCCTTGTCCTTGGGCAGTGACCACCCCATGGGGTGGAAGGCTGGTTCCTTGGGGGGCTGAGGCTGATGCCAGACCCCGACTGGGCTCGGCCTTGGGGCCACATTGGCACCCCCAAGAGCCGGCCTGCCCTCTCTCTGTAGAGGTCCCGTCTCCTGGCTCCTGGCCCCTACTTCTCCCGTGGAGCTGGTGAGGCTTCCCGTGGCCACCCCTAAGTCTGAAGAGGGCTCCTGTGTTGTTCCACTTGGCAGAGCTGGGGTTCTGCTGGGCTTGTAGATCTGGAGCTCCTGTTGGGAGTGAGCAGGAGCTGTGTGGGCACTCCCTCCTCCTTCCAAATTACCTGAGATTTAAAGAGACAGGCCCCAAAGTCCTGCCTGCTGAGGATATGCGTCAGCTCAGCCTCAACTCTCTCCACCCTGCAACTCTCCCACTGTTCTTAGGCCTTCAAAGAGATTAAAGAACTGGCCCCTGGACTTTGGGATATCCAGTGACCTTTTTCTGGGCCAGCTCCCTTGAAGGACTCCTGGCAGTGAGGAGGAGGAGGAGGAGGAGGAAAGCAAGAAAAGGCTTTTTGCAGGATGGAGAAGTTTCTGCCTGTCTCTACACAAGTCCTGGGAACTTTTCTCTTGACTCTTGGGGTGAAATGTCTTGCCTGGCCCAAAACAGGCATATAAACAGCAAAGACTTAGTTCTCACCGACTTTGAGTTGACAACTGCTTTCTGTAAAGAACCAGAAAGTACATGCAAGTATTTTAGGTGTTGTGAGCCCAGTACAGTGTCTGATGAAGATGCTTTGCTCTTTGGCTGTCAATTGTCTCCATCACTACCACTTAAAGATACAAAATTACCTCCCCACGCTAGTGAGTCAGGGTATGAAATCTATCCGTGGAAGACCCTGCTTCTGGTGGCAGGTGGGTTACCAGGTAAGACCCAGGTTGGGTCCAGTGAGGTGGCATGCACAGGTAGGGGCAGCAAAAGGAAAGACAGAGGCCAGCCAGAGAGACCTTGTCTCCAAATAAAAGGTATAAGAATGCTTAGTTAAAACTGATTGGAGTGGGGGTAAATACAGGTTAATTTTATATGTTCTAGAGTATTTTATCTGGCCATTTTCTCAGAGAGACACTGGGTTACTGTCACTAGGATCTATAATTGAGTGTGTCCACACAAACTCAGATAATAACTTAGGAGGCAGTTATTATCCATGGAGAAAACCGATGTTCAAAGTGCTAAAAACACGTCCCTAAGGCCACAGAAGTGACAGGCGATGCCCCAAATCACTGCTGACCCCAGAGTCCACCTTGTTTATGCTTCCCCCATACACTCGCTCTAGCAGACAAAGTGATTGGACTACTGGAGGCTTGCCCAGACAGGGTCACAGGCATCCTTGGTCACTGCATTGGACCTCAACTGGGCCCAGCCACAGGGTTTATCTGGTTCACCTTCCTTATATGGAAGAAACTGGAACTGTCTTATTCAAAATGCTGCTGCCACCCAGGGGCCCAATTAGCTGGAATGACACCTAGCTCTCTAAAGTCATAGGTGTCTGCAGGTCACTTCCCGGCTTCAGCTTGTTTTTCCCATGTCTCACTGAAAGATCAGGAAGGCCCAACAAGGCAGGTGTGAGTGTGCTGTACAGTGAGTGTCTAATGTGCAGGTGGTGTGTACACGCGTGTATGCGGTGTGCTTTCTGTGTGCAAGCTTCGTGCTGACTATGATACTGTAAGGCATGTATAGGGAATCTTGTGTGTTTGTTGCTGTTATACATACTGTGAGTTTCATGTATGCTACATGTGTGTCATATGTGCTTTTCGTGTGATGTACATGGTTCTTGAAGTATGTGTGCATGTTTTGTGTTTAGTCCACATGTAATAATGGTTTATGTTGTGTGTCCGGTATCTAGGTGTGGTATGCATGATGCAGCATGTGTTGGCTTGGTGGGGTGTGTCACATGTTCCGTGTGGGTAGTCAAGCATGGGTCGGGAGGAGGTTCTTAGGAGCAGAAGTGAGGTATCTCTGTGGGTGTGGTATGGAAGGGCCACCCCTTCCAATTGAAAGCTACTTGCGTTCCTGCTCTTGGGCCTAAGGCCAGGCCATAGAGCCCTGAGCAAACAATGTACTTCGATTAGCTGCCTTCCCCACCCGCCTAGAGGTCAGTGAGTTCAAGCTGGGTGGGGGGGAAGTCTAGAATCCAAACCTTGAACCCAGGACCTTTGTGCCCATTAAGCCAAGTGTTTGTCTGACGCTGACCCACCCCACCTCCTCTGTCCTCTTCAACTCTAGGAAAAGACCCCAGTTTAGTCACTAGTGGGAGAGCAGATACTATAGCAAGGCTTGTATCATGCTGGGCAGCGAGACACCAGGAGTCAGAAGGAAGAAGTAATCTTCCGATACCCTTTCCCCTTCGTCTCGGCTTCCTTCACCTGGCTTTGCTGTTGGATGGGTATTGCTGCAGCTGAGTAGATGCATAGCTTGGATGACTTGGTGGTCACAAACTTGGACATTGTAATTCTCTGCCTTTGTCCCCCACTGCATGTTCTTAGGACAGGGTGAGACTGTGGACTCGGATCTCTACCCAAGGCCTGATAATTGCAACCCCCTCATCTACACCCAGTCTTGCAGTTGACAGGTGTGTCCCCCTATGCTTATTGGACTACTGGTTCTGAAGGGACAGAAAGCATTCTGAAGATGGCACGGCCATTTCCCTATGCCAGCACTGGACAGTATTGCCCAATATGAGAGAGGAATTCATTTGGCAGCCCAGAGCCAAGAGGTGTCCTTATACTGCATGCTGTCTGTGTTGGAGTGTCACAGGGGCTGGCCTCAACTTGGGAGACTTGTAATATTACTCTTCCTAAATTGATTTCCTTGTTGACAATCTTCGGCCCACTCAGTAAGTGGCTGCCTCTCTGTAGGTCAACAGACAGCGAGGACCAACCTGAAGTGTAGAACAGGCCAAGGTTGCTATGCAGAAGTAGTTTGTTCTATCTCGTTCTTCTTGCTTTGGGCTTAACCTCACCTCCAACTCTAAGCTGGGAAGAGGGGCATCAAAACGTCAGTGGCTCCTCTAGGGGTCACGTGCGGCGGGCTGGGCGCTAGAGGTGTTGATGAGCATCTATGTGCTTACCTGTATTTAAGCATGAGAATGAGCCTGAGATGCTAGTTTCTGCATTTGGCATTGTTGCTGGACCTGGGTCCTGTGCATACTACTTTCCTGTAGGACCTGATGCAAGCATCACACAATGCTTGGTAGCATCTGAACCTTCATTCACTGGGTGACAATAGCCTTTCCCGCCAACATCTTCAAGGGGCAAAGTCAACATTCGTTGTGTGTGTGTGTGTGTGTGTGTGTGTGTGTGTGTGTGTGTGTGTGTGTGTGTGTGTGTGTGTGTGTGTGTGATATTTGACTAGTGGGTATGCAGAATTTGATTTGTAGATATGATATGTATGTAGTATATAATGTATGCATCTGTGTATGTGTGTTTTGTATGTCATAGTGTGTAAAGTGTGTGTATGTGCTGTATGTATGGTGTACTGGTGTGTGTATGTATGTGGTTTGTATTGCATAATATGTTTGTTGTATGTGGCATGTACTTATGAATATGTTTGTGCAGTACAGTGGACATGCATATATGTATTTTTACTATTGTGTGATATGTGGCTTGTATTCATAATACACTATATGTTTATTGTTGCATGTTGAGTATGTATGGGTTGTATCGTGTACGTATGATAGCATAGTTTGTTTGCATGTGTGTGTTGATGTGTGTAGTGTGTGGGCCTGTGTATCCATGGCTAAGACTCTATGTAGTCTCTGAGGAACTCTGGGTTGCTGGCTTCTTAGTCCTCTCCAGCTCCTCCTCTCTCTGGTTCCAGTGACTCTCTCTGTCATGGTTTTTACTCTGGGCCCTCCCAGAAGGTGTCTGCAGGCAGTTTGGTCAGCAGAAGGTCTTGCCTGCTGGTGGCTGGCAGGTAGTGGGGTCTTCGGGGATGGAGCTAGGGCAGGCAGGGCAGCGAAGGTAGTGACATAAGACTCAGTGCTCACAGAGAGTGGAGTTTGTCCCAGTCACCGGGTTCAAAAGCCCTGAGTGCCAGCTCATAAAGCCGGTGGAGGTTAGCAGGTGAGCGGGCACATCTCTCTCTCTCTCTCTCTCTCTCTCTCTCTCTCTCTCTCTCTCTCTCACACACACACACACACACACACACACACACACACACACACACACAAGCACTCCCCAGGGGCTACCATGTCTGACATGGAGACTGGTAACCAGGCTTTAGTGCTGGTTCTCTTGTATTCCTGTCTGTGACTGGAAGACAATTTTTGCTGAAACCCTTCAAAGCCCTTTTCAACTCAAACAACTTGTGACTCTGAAGAAATCCGAAGGTGCGGTTTCATGTGTACACAAATACACTTCAGTTTTCACAGGTCAGGAGGTCTACTTCGTTTAAGGGCTTTTGTACGTCTTTCCCCCAAACAGGCCTTTGTCCACCTTTTCTTCCTCCTACCACCTACAGTTGTAGCTCCATTGGTTTTCCCCACAGCCTCGTTTCCTGCTGCTTCATGCCCAGGCCTCACTGAGCCTTACAGCATGAGAAGTGCTGTGGGGCTGCACACTCTGCTTCTTTGGAAAGTTCTAGGGAGGGCCAAAAGGAAGGTAGCCGGAAGGCCAAGGTGCTGGCCACTGGGGAGGCAGAGGCCATGATAGACAGTACCAGGAAGCTACTTCCACGTTTTTAGGAATATGTGTGTACATTTGTTGACAGGAATTTTGATGTATTCTTCATGTGAAAATAGACCAGTGTGCTATAGTAATGATTTTTTTGGGGGGAGCTGGGGAGTATTGTGCAAGTGTGTGCATGTCTGTTTTCTGGTTTCCTTTGACTGGTCCATACGTTTAAAACTCCACATTGCCATATACTTTGCAGGATTCATCCAGAAGTCATGCATGGATGTATGGGTGGGAACACCGCTTCTCCTCTTGCCCTTGTACTTGTATCGACTACCTAGTCTGACCCTGCCGCCTTCCTAGCCACATTACCAGTGGAAGACTGTTTGGCTCCAACTCGATGAGCAAGGGTGCGTCCTAGGTTCAATGACCATAGACTAGTCCCACCTTGAGAATGCTCATGCTGACAGTGGCGC